GTGGCTTTGCTAATACAACTTTGGGAGATAAAGTCATCCATTCTTATAGATGATTGGGATCATGTTCCAGAGACAATGAAAAATCAAAATTTTCAAAGTATCCTGATATGAAATCTTAACTTATATAATTTATTATGAACATATACATTTGATATTTAATATATATAATTAATTCTTGTACAAGTCACATATGTCGTCCCAAATAGTAATCTGTTGAGGACAAAATGAATTTCATCTGTTGGAGAACGATGGAAGGGTTTAAAGACGAACCATACAAGTCATTATATTTATGGTTCATTAAGTAATAAAAGTCCCTGTGAGAAGTATCAATTCCTTGATGAACACACATGGCAAACTTTCAAGGAGACGGGGTTAGAACTTTATAGGTAAATTCATATAATATGTAGATTCTCTCTCATCTTAGACTTGTAATCCCCCTTAAGATGCTTCTCCTATTTGTATAAGCACAAAAAGGAATTGTGATGTTCCCCTTTAAGAGGCTTCTTCAACTGTTGATGCAGACTAAGAACTATTCATTGATGATCCCTTCGAGTGCTTGGCGACGTTAGGTAATATGTCCAATTATATTGTTTTGCATGTACTTGTTTTAACCTAATTATATTGTTTGATTTATTTTAAAAATATTATTTGGTTACTTTAGGTAAACTGTATACATTGAGGGAACCCATATACCATGAAACCATTACAAATAATATGTAGACATTTGAGATGCTACTACTCAAGTCCCTATAGGGCGGGCCCTTGGACATTTAATCTTTAGGCCAATTAGATTAGCAAAAAACAATAGTAAACGAGGTAATTGTCCTTATTTGTTTCAATTATGCATTTTCCTTTTTATATTGGTGTATACTAATGTTATGTAATTCTTTAAATTTGTATAGTAGGTTGGACTACAAGAAAATAATATGTGAATGAATCACCCTCAGAATCAATAATTCTAGAATGACTTGGTGAATTGATAGTGACTATCGTAGTGCAACCTATAGTGTTATAAATGCCTCCCAAAGTCACAAACATCCCTTTTTTTATATGTCAAATGAATGTTTTTGAAGTTTTCTCTGGCATTGATATGTTATGCATATGAGTAATATAAATTTAGTTTATATAAGTGAATTTTAATTATTTTTAGGATTAAATATGTTTTTCGTCCCTTAAGTATCACACGATTTTGGTTTTAGTCCCTACTAGAAACTTTGATGGTTTTTAGTCCTCATAGTATTGAAACTATTAGTATTAATCCTTAAAAATGGACGGCGTCAACTTTTAGTTGATCTGGCAAACGGCGAGGCCACGTCTTCTTCTTAAGTATCTGCCACGTTGCTTCTTCGTCATCTCATTTGGGGCAAAGCTGAATTCTTCTTTTTCGTCATCTCAGATTAACCAATGTCATGTAGAGCTGAAACCAAAAGTCCATCAAGTCCAAACGCACCCATAACGCTAACACCCTTCACACTCCAAGCGCACCTTAGCAGTCTCCGCCATCTTCGCCACCGCGCTAGCGCCGTCGATGGAGTCTCTCTTCGACAATATCAACTTCTGCGACCTTCTCTCGGCGCAGGACCTCTCGGACCCAACCATCCCCTCTATCAGCGCCCGATCTGCACCTCCTGATCCAGCGCCTCGAGTCGTAGTCCCTCCAGATCTGCTCTCAGGTCCAGTCCTACCTCGTGTCACACCGTGAAGACTTCACGCGCCTCTTCTCTCTACAACGATGTTGTTTCGCAAACTCGCGAGGTCTCCAACGCCGCCGCCGCCCTTATCCGACTCCTCTCCGACCAATCGATGTTGAGGTGTGCGAGGTTGTGTCAGAAATGAAGGTGAAGAAAGAGGAGCTAAAGGTGAAGAAGGAGCTCCTAGGGTTGGTTGGAACCGTTGTGGGGTTGAACAAGAGGTTAGAAAGTGTGAAAGAAGCGTTGAGGAGTGGAAGGTTCGAATTTGCAGCATAAGGGTTGAAGGAGTTGAAAGTGGCGTTGAGGATTGACGAGAAGGATGATAGGGAGCCTTTGGTGAATTGGTTAATCTCAGATGACAAAAAAGAAGAACTCAGCTTTGCCCCCAATTGAGATGACGAAGAAGCAACGTGGCAGATACTTAAGAAGAAGACGTGGCCTCGCCGTTTGCCAGATCAACTAAAAGTTGACGCCGTCCATTTTTAAGGATTAATACTAATAGTTTCAATACTATGAGGACTAAAAACCATCAAAGTTTCGAGTAGGGACTAAAACCAAAATCGTGTAATACTTAAGGGACGAAAAACATATTTAACCCTTATTTTTATCAAGTTTTAATATATTCAACACATTATTCTAACATTATTTATTCTCAATATTTAAGGTGTTTTCATCATGCATGCACTAATGTCCATATACAAGGATTTATTGATCTTGTTACCACTCAAAGAGGAGGTGAAATGCATACATATTTATTAGAGACATTTTAAAAGGGACACAAAGAAATGTCCTAAGCATTTTACTTGCATCATTAAGTATGCATTTTATAAATTAAAGCATATATATGTAAAACTTAATTGTATCTAATATCATTTGAATCTGCAGCGATCACTAGAAGATGCTAATAATTATTCCTCAAAAGTCTCTTACGGTTCTCTTATGTTCAATATAAAAAAACCAAACACTATACTAAGTACATTAGTTGCTAATAATTATTCATTTGTTTTTTGTGTTATTTAATTTATTTTTAATAAGTTTCATACTTAATACAATTTCAATATACATTCTTTTACAGAGCGGTTGAGTCTCATTTAAGGTTGTGGGTCATTAAATTGTTTTTGAAAAGAAGTTGCAATACAATGGACCAATTTTAAGTAGTTAGTCTGGAGACTATTAAAATAAAATTATCAAATATATGATGTTCTATGAATTTATCACGTAGTTTTCACGTTAAATAGAGAGTTATAAGTGTGGATATTGACTGATGAGACACATGGATAAAATCATATCCGCAAACATTATTGGCTCATGGGATCTAGTAGTATGTAGAATTTATAACTCACATCTTAAGTATTATTTACTAAAAGATTGTTAACTCAAACTATAAATTATGTAAATTTTTTATGACGTGTCTCCAATGAAGCAAGGAGTCTTATACGAAATTCGTTAGCACTATGCTTCGTTTCTTGTGAATGTTTATAGAAAATGATGTTAAGTATTTTATGAGTTTACATGCAAATATTATATGCATAGCCATTAGGTTAAGATTGTATTATATTATTAGTACTTTGAATGGAAATTTGTATTGGTTGGCTATTTTGGGTCATTATATTCAGGGATTTTATACGGTAGGGAGCATAAACGAATTTCTAATAAAAAAACATCACTTTTTGTACTGGTTAAGGCCACAACTAGTATAAAAAAATCACTTTTGTTACATAATTTTTCTTTTCAAGTAGACTTTCTATAGTGGGTCTAAAATAGACATAAAATGTGGTCTTTTTATGCTGGAATAAACATATAAGTATTTTTTAATTGGTGTAAAATGATTTTCATGTAGTATAGTGTAGAAAAAGAAAGAAAAAGGAAGAAAAAGAATAGGAGGAAGAAGACCATATCGTGATATATACTAATGAATTTTGATCGTCAATAATTATCGAGAATCACGATGATAATAACTGATGGATTGAAGAATCCGTTAATAAAATTTATCGACTAACATCTTCCTAACAATTTTTTTGTTATTGGTAAGTTGCCAATAATTTTGATTTACTAACAAATTCTTATGATTATCGACGAATTTTATTCATCGATAAACTTTTTCTTCTTGTATTGGGTGAGAACATACAAAACATTGACATATAAAAAAAGACATATCATGAAATATAGGTACGCTATAAAAAGAGATATTGAGTAAAGTAGTTTATAATTCACCCTTAACTCTCATTATACATCATTTTCTTCTTCAAACAATTATTAAAAAGTTAGTTACAATCTGATTATACAAGTCATTCTTGGCTATTACAAATACACAAGGTTATTCCATTCTTTACAAGTCAATCTTTTCATGATTTTTGTTATAATTATGAAGATATAATTTTTTAATCCTGCTAAACAACTTTATTGATTTAGCTTCGGCACATTGTACTTAATATAAAAGGAAAATAATGACCAATATTGTTTTCCTTTTTAGCTAGGTAAGTGTTATTAGTAATTCATACAAATTATGTCCATATATCACACAAATAGTCATTGTGCAAAATAATACCAATATTATTAGTATATTAATATGCACATGGAATGTTTGAATCGATTGATTAGAATAATTAATACAATTATCATTAATGATTGATTTTATAAATACAAAATCAGTTAATTATTTTACTTATGAATTATTTTATTATAATGTTATAAACTAGATGTTCTAGTATTTTATTATTGAATGAATTACTTGCAAAAGTGTTGTTCTGTGATTAACAAATATAAATGTATAATCACATAAATACGTGTAGAAAAATATTATAGTGGAACATAATTAGTTCAATGTTATATTATTATATATCATCAACACTTTTAACACAGGTACTCAGATTTAGGAATATGTTATTTAAATGGGTACTACATTATTTTGACAACCAAGAAACTTAAATGCATTTTACATTTATTATTTTAGCTTTTAATTGTTTTTCTTCTATTACAAATACAAAGATTATTTTTTTTAATGACCAAAATATCTTTCAATTGGTGTAAGTAGTGTAAAAAAAATTCTATTTGAATTGTAGTATATCTAATTCTATTGGTTTTCTCGAAAGATTTTGTCATTGCACTAAGCTGTTGAAGAATTAGTTATGGTTATGAAAAATTGCAACTTCGTTTTGTTTATACAAGTAATACATGCATTTATAAAAATTTAAATAACATTAGTTTAATTAATTATAACATGTAAAAAAGACCAATATATAATTAAAGTTAAAAACATTATCCACACAGCAATCACTTATACAGAGATATGGACTGGGAGTGCTATAAATTAAAGAAAAGTATCATAAAGCAAAGAATTGAATTGGTCCTCTAGTCCTGGGAGGGACTGTTTGTCGTCGTAACTATACATCAATGGCACCATCCTTGCCAGATTCAGTGAAGCCTTAGTGAATGTTGGATGGAAATGTCTATGAAACAAGCACTCTTGGTTGAGGTTCTTCCATGCATCACTGATCTTACTCATCACTCTTTCTCTTGCTACTTCTCTCGTGTACTCTGGCTTTTCCATCATCAGACAATTCACGTACGATCCATCATTGCCTTTTTGATTCTCATCCTTTACAACAATATCAGTGCTATCACTAATTTATAAATAATCTAGAGTCAACTTAATTCATTTCACTTCTAATCCATCTTTTGAAAAAACTCTATTTTTAGTAGGTCTTTTTAAGTGAAGTAAAAAAAGCATCGGTTTCCAAAACTCAATTTTAAATGATTTAATATCAGTTTGATCTTATTAAAATATTTTAATTAATTCTTAAAAATATTTATTATGTTATTAAATAAAATATATAACATATAAATTAATAGAGTTATTGACTATAATCTATTTACTAATTTTATTAATATTTAAGAGAATAAATTTATAACACTTAATAAATATTGTGATAAAGTCTCAAGTATGATAGAACAAATATAAAGTCTAACAAAAATGTGAAAATATTAGATTATAATTTTAATAAAATTCACACTAAATATTTTTATAATTATTATATATATTGATTATTAAAGAAAAATAAATAATTAGTAGAATTTAAGTATAAATTTAAGTCATATAAGAAAAAAAATTAATATAATAAAAAAATTAATAAATTTGTTATTCAAAACTTGATTATTTTAAACTTTCAAATTTAGATGTCGTACTTAATTTTGATTCAAATCTAAATGAATTATTGCATAATAAAATTAAATGACTGTTTTATATACTTTAAAGATATGTTTAGTCAATAAAAAAATTTAAACATATTTAATCAGTTAAAAATTTCAACTTTTTATATTATTATGTAATTTTTTTATATAAACAAATAACTAAATTTATCAAAATCATACAAAATTTATGTTAAACTGAATAAAATATTTCTATTCTAAGCAAATATTTAAAAAAAAATTATGAGCTTCTTCTAGTCTACAAGACTTTTATGATATTTTAACATATGAATTTTTTTTTAATAAAATGTTTTTGACTCAATAACCCATATTAGTTAAAGTAAAAGTCATATGAGAGGAGTCAAAAAGATCTTGACAGAGGAACCAAATTTACACTGATAACAATAGCAAAATAATAACATCGGTAACAATTTCTTTTAATAATTTTTTAATAATAAACTACGTGTCATTATTTTATTTTATTATTGTAAATTTTTTTTTTCAAAAAGACATTTTCCAAATAATAATTTACAACCTTTATGTTAACTCTATGATCACATAAAATCTGTTTACCTGTGCATTTCCCAAGTCATCCCAGAGTCGGAGAATTGTTGCCGGGGAAGAAATGATGTCAGGGTTTCCGTCTATGATCTCAACATTTTCCTCAGTTAATCCCTCACCCAAAAGAAAGAAAGTGTGAACCAACATAATTTGCACTCCAGAGCTTACTGTCCAATTCTTTAAGTATTCCCTTGCACTTGCCAACTTCACACACCCAAACCATTTTGCTTCAACTAGGAAGGCTTTGCACAAACTCTTCCACTGCACAAAAATCACCATCTCTTTTACATTCTATATGATCATCAACATGTAAACGTTCAATTCTAATCAAATTCTCAATATATAGATATAAACCAAATTTCTTGCATATGCGTGACCAAAAATCTCCATCGTCTATTTTCTGTGTAAATTCTTACAAGTTCGAGGAAAAAAAGCTCACATAAATCTTTTTCAACTAAGGTTTTACTGTTGAATATAAAAATAATCCATATGTGGGTATTCTTTTACCGCATTTTGTAGTGAGTGTATGGGGTTCCAGCCGTGCTTCTGATAGACCTTGGAGCTGATTTCGTTTGTGAGATTATAGAGGACACTGAAACACGTCTTCATGTAATCTGGAAGTTGTTCAACGGCTGTGATATCCCATCTGCATTGTTTTTTATTAATCTTTGTCTGTAATTTGATCTGTGAAAACTTTTATAGTGAATAAGTGGTTTCATTTACCCACCTGCAAACAGCTTCTGTGAACAGAGTTAACTCGTCCAGAGTCCCATAAACATCGAAAATGTCATCTATTATGTATATCAAAGATATTGGTTTTGTGAGCTCAATCCTTTCCTCTGAGAAACTACGATCCGAGAAGCATGCCAACGACCAAATGTACCATTTAAGGGGTTGGTTTCTCGCATACACTAACTCGTTGGCTAAACCAAGCTCGGTCCACCATCTGCAAAAATGATTGAACTGTAAGGACTGATCATCATAACAAGATAGCTTAGTTCAATAATTGAATTAAACATCCATCATACTTCGTAATTTGACCAATCTCACGATGGTACGAGAACTGTAGCAAACTGAAATCCATTTTTGCAATCTCTCGAAAGGAACTTAGCCATAGATTCTTGTCATGGAAATCGCCCAAGAACTTTCTAGCGGTAAACAAGGGCAAGCTTTTGTGAAAAGGGTGTTCTAAGGTTCTCTTTACAAACTGATCTCCGTGACTGTCGATGGAATCTACCTTTTCCTTTAGGACCTTGCCACTAAATATTTCTGCTTCAGCAAGTATATCTTCCCCTGCTACGGCTAACTGTGAAGCTTCATATATGTCTACCATTCCCTTTATATTTTCACTAAGTTCTGGCCTGATTTCTCTCTCCTTGTTGGTCAACTTTTCAAACACCTCTGTGAAGTTTCCAATAAACAAACATTTTAGCCTTCAAATAATACCAAAAGGGAAAGCAACCATGTTTGCTTCAGCAGCATGGAAGAGAAAGAAGAAAATAAATAAATGAATGAATAAAAACTGTGCCCTTGGTTTTGCAGGATTAGAAAATTTTCTCATTCATTAGTCTGAGTGTGTTAGTTTCGAAATCTTTAGGACTCAGAAAATTTTGTTTAAAGGTATAATAAAATGACATATTTTTACATTTATTTAGCATATAATATAAAAATAAAATAGTTATAAAGAATTATTTTTTTTTTAAAAAGAAGAAACTAAAAAAATAAAAAATAATGTGAAATAAATATAAAAATTTAATGGTTATCAAACTATGATGATTGTTTCTTTAAATATCAATACATAGGTAATAATTTCTTGGCGGACATGTATGTGGGTTTTAGCATATAAGTGTAAGTGGAGTATAGGAATGAGTGGATGAACATGTAGACAGGTGGAAATATAAAGGTAAGTGGAACTAACCTGCGGGCTCAAAGTAACCATGTTGTCTGAATAGCCTGAATCGAAGTGCAATCTCATGAATATGATTACCATAACCACTCCCAACACTACGGTAATTCGTATATTGCCTCTCTAGGAATGTTTCAATTTCGTCTTGGAAGTGGTAATCAATATTTAAGCGTTGCATTACATCAATCATGCACAAACCTTCGAATGAGCTTTCATCCACAGTTTTCCAAACTTCATTCTTCACCACCTCCACTTTCTCCGAGAGATTCGTGCTCAGATTTCCCTGCCATGGAAACGACATAATCACTTCAACCCTTCATGCATGGAATATATATGATTGTGTTTTTTTTTGTGTGTGTGATCGATCTGGTTTATCATTTTCAGGTTTCGACGAAGAGAATTAAAAATAATCTTATTAAAAAATTAAGTTTGCCCTACGACCGTTTTATATAGTTTGTGTGTTAGAGCTTTCCTCTTGAACAAAGTTCCATTTGTTGGTGAAGTGAAGAGCATCAGGTTTGGCAGGGTTGTGATATCGAGAAAGTTGAGAGTTTGCGTGCAACAATTTGAGGTTTGGAAGAAAAAATGCAGGACTCGAAATGCAGTGCCATGACCAAAAAGTATAGATAGATAGAGAGACACTTGTGAGATGTATCACCATAATTTGGTACATTTATAGTGTGAGGAGTGAAGATGTTAATCAGTGCGTTTCCAATACTTTACGGTAATGTGATATAATGTACAGTGTGTTATTTGGAAATTGACTGTAGAGTTGATGTGAAGGGGCCATGGCTATAGAGATACAAACAACAGAACCAATGAAGCTGGGCCATTTTTTTCCGACTTTTATTGGAGGATGGGACCACTCAAATTCAAAACGAGTTTCACGTTACTAAGCTTTTTTAAAACGATAACTATAATATATAACCTATTCAAGCATTCCTGAATAATCAATATCATTTTTAATCATAACGAAACAAAAGATTCTCTTTCTATCCCAAGATGGAAAAGCTAATTTGTTTATTTTTTGCATGATAACCGTGATAATCAGGGAAAAACCTTCTAAGACAAAAGTGTGCACGTTCTATACTGTTTGAGAATGTTTGTAACAGCCCTATTTTCATTTTATTAGCAAATTGGACATTTATATATAATATATATATATATATCATATAATAGTATATATATATAATATATATATAATATTAAGATTATTATATTTTTAATTATAGGCTTAATAACTAATTTGGTTAAAAACATATATAACGATTATAAATAATATTTAAATTATTGAGAGACTAAATTAAAATATTGAAATTTAAGAAAATGTAATTAAAATTACGGATCATAACTCTTTACACGCACGAATTATTCATGTTTTCTTTTCTTTTAATTTCCATAAGAAGAGAAACCTAGATGATTTATAGGTAGAATATCAATACAAGGTTTATGTTATTCCTCAATTAATTAATTCTAAATACACTTTCATTTTTCCTGTTTCTAAAAAAAAATTAAAAATACTCCAATTAATTAAAAAGATTTTTATCAGTGATTAATTTATTTTATATCCATGATATATCTTATTCACAGCATACCATAAATACACCTAAAAACTCCACTACGTACTCACGCATGTCCACGCATTTATACTAACATCTCAGCTAGACAATAGCACGCAATACTATCTTCAAACTTAAGATTTAAAGCCACTATGTTCACAATTAACTATAATTAAAGATAAAACACATGGATGAATGGTTCAATAATATTTGGAATGAATCATTACTACTGCAAAATAGACCTCTTATGTTTATTTTTCGACGTTCCACGTCCAACTAGATCCCGACATTTTTATTGGAGCGTCAATTTTAAACGTTGAATCCCCTTTTTTTTTGGCGGACGTCAATTTGGACGTAGAACCCCTCCCCTAAAACCGACGTCCATTTCTTTTTTTTTTTTTTTTTTTTTTTACAACATTACACACTTGAAATAAAAAAATGATTCCAGCACATCAAAAAATTGCATATACTATGAGTTTCAAGCAATGGAGAATCATCACTCAATGTTGTCCCCGAAATCTGTGAACTCGTGCACAAAACTACATCATAAGCCAAAATTAATCGGTGCAAATGAAATTTAATCAGTGCAAACTAAAGTTAATCGGTGCAAAATAAATTAACTTGAAGAAAATCAATCAAACATACCTTGCAGCAGCAATTCTGAACACGAACGAAACAAAAACCTAAACGAAAATGCGAAAGAAAGTGAGACTCGCATTCTGAGTTTTTGGGATTTAAGGGCATTTAACGCCAGCCCCCTCCACAACCGACATCTAATTGCTAAAAAAATCCATTTTGGCGCTACTCTACGGGATATTTTCACATCTTATTGATGTCCCGGAAAGCGGATCTGACGTTTATTGTATAATAGACGTCGACTCCTTCTACAAGTGATGTTTAAAGATAATAAAATAGTGACTTTTTGATTCTATATGTAGACCATTTGACGTCTGATTCTATGAGAGCCGACGTCTAATATTATAGTCTTTACTAATGTATAAAATAATAGATTTCCTTGAGAAAGAAAGAAAGGAACATCTAAAATATTTTTAAACTTAAATATTTATTTTTCTTTTATAAGGTTTTAAAAATATTTTTTAATTTCATAAACTTTGTTTTATTGTTGTTTTCAAAATTAACTATTGTTTTAGTTGTTATGAAATTTTATTTATGTGTAATTTCACAATAATATTTTACATAATCATTTTACTATTATCTAACTGTTTATTTGTATTTCTAAATATTTGACACGAATACATTTTTTTAATATTGATTAATTGATAATATTAAGTTCTTATTTTTATTTTTAATAAACTTTAATTAATATGGAAACACTGATTGAGTCTATGCATCTCTAATATATATATATATATATATCTATATATAATATATATATCTAGATATATTAATATATCTTTTATTCCTTGATATTTGTATAATACTTATATCTTTTATATTTTATATAATCTTTTATATATTACTCATTATCATAAGTAAATTTTTTACTTTCATTTATTAATATAATTTGATTTAGACCTGTCAATTTGGCCCTCCTTACATGGTTTGGTCCTAACCCCTTGGTTTGAGGTCCCCCCCCCCCCCAAAAAAAAAATCCCAAGGACTCAAAAAGTTCCTCGTAGAAAAAGTCCACGGGGCCAAAATAATCTTCAAAAACCTGTGATTCATGGCCAACCCTGGACACTTTTTTTTAGAAAAAGTTTCATTTTGATACAAGAAAAAATAGAATTAAATTCCTAATTTGTTTTACAAAAATAAGTTATATAGAAAATAAATGAATTTTTATAAGAGGAAGTTCTAATCAAGCAGCAAAGCAAAATGACCAATATTTATTTAGTTAGATTCTCTGACATTAATTAAAGGATCATTTATAAATTTAAAATTTTAAATATTTAAATTTCACTTTTTTTTTAAGTTATATGTAAAGAAATAACTTTTTATCGAAATTATCCTAATTGAAATTTAAGAGAGATTTTCCTAATTGAAGCTTTAATTTAAAAAAAAAATAGTCTTCTTTAATTTTCTTAGAAAGTTATTTAAAAGAAATTAAATATAAATGATTTTCCTTTTTCATTTTATACTAACAAATCATGTTCATAACAAAAATATAAATAAAAGAAAAAACTCCATAAACCTGTGCAGACTAAAGTTGTATTAGTCCAAGAATTCAACCGTCTTACTACTCTACTCTCTCATTCAAAATTTTACATTAAATATCATACAAAATATAACCATAAACATAAACATACATTTAATGTTATTGTTCTAATTGAAGTTAAAAATAATTATTTAATGTGTTTAGTTAAAGAATTGAACACTATAACCTTTTCATTCTTTAGTACTTTTAGTAGGTCTATTTAAAATTTTTCATTTTTTTTATAAATTTTTAAGAAATTCACTTCTTTTTATAAATATATCTCATGGTGATTTGAGAAAGATTATCATAGAGAAAAAAACAAAATAAAACATAAGTTTACTTACACATAAAATATTAATACTATTTTTTTTTATCAAAAAATTTAGTAATAATTTTTGAATTATTTTTAATTTTTAAATAATTAAAAGCAGATGAGTGATATTTTAAGAAGTCGAGGAAACAAAACATGATTATTTTTAAGAACTGGTGAAGGCAGTGGCAATATTAAATCAAATTAATATGTTATATCTCTCTCTTTGGAGTTATTGATATTCTAATTATATATACTTTTTCTAATAATTGGTGTCTGCACCATAAGACATAATTTTTTAAATTGACAACAAAATAAAGCATTTTTTATATATTTCAGTAAAATAAATTTGTAATACTATTTAGTTGTATAAAATTAAGTGTGTGGTTTGCAATTGTTTTTTAACTTAATTTAAAAAGTGGTTATTTTTGAATATTAATATTCTATTCTACTATAATTAGTTAGTTTTATTTATTTAATATTTTGAAATTAAGAAATCAATTACCTTTTAATAGTTACTATTAAGAATGTTGAAGTTTAGTTTTCAAAAAAAATTTAGTGGACTAAACCCACCTTAAGAGACTTCTTAAGAGGGGGCTTTTTCAAGAGTGGGGTTAAAACTTGCCCCCCCGGGTTGTCCAAATTGACACCCTCTATACTCCACATAGGGCTGCATTCCAGGAGAAATTTCTGCACGTGGAACACCTGGATCACTATGTGTAAAGACGAAAATGATGCAGTGGTCACTTTCAATGACGAGCTTAAATCATTAGTTGATCGTTTCAATAAAGAATTCCCTGATTCTAAATTTATTTTTATTAACGCTATTGAAGCGATACTAACTGGAACGACTAAAAACGTCCAAGGTAACAATCTTTAGTTGTTATACCCAAAGCTATAGTAATACCAGAGAAGTGTATTGATATATTTGATAAACCACCTGACAACATATACATACACGGATTTTGTATAATTTACTTAAAACTATGACTGACCCAAATGCATGTNGGTGGGGTGGTGCGGCTCAGATTCACTAGAAGATGCTAATAATTATTCCTCAAAAGTCTCTTACGGTTCTCTTATGTTCAATATAAAAAAACCAAACACTATACTAAGTACATTAGTTGCTAATAATTATTCATTTGTTTTTTGTGTTATTTAATTTATTTTTAATAAGTTTCATACTTAATACAATTTCAATATACATTCTTTTACAGAGCGGTTGAGTCTCATTTAAGGTTGTGGGTCATTAAATTGTTTTTGAAAAGAAGTTGCAATACAATGGACCAATTTTAAGTAGTTAGTCTGGAGACTATTAAAATAAAATTATCAAATATATGATGTTCTATGAATTTATCACGTAGTTTTCACGTTAAATAGAGAGTTATAAGTGTGGATATTGACTGATGAGACACATGGATAAAATCATATCCGCAAACATTATTGGCTCATGGGATCTAGTAGTATGTAGAATTTATAACTCACATCTTAAGTATTATTTACTAAAAGATTGTTAACTCAAACTATAAATTATGTAAATTTTTTATGACGTGTCTCCAATGAAGCAAGGAGTCTTATACGAAATTCGTT